CAAACCGCAAGTGCTTGATGCTGGCTAAGTCTACTATTTCAGATGCGATAACGGGATCTATCCCAGATTATGACACCACCACGGAATACCTCAACAAAGTGGAGAGTCAGTTTACTAGCTATTCAAAGGCTTATGCCAGTACTTTGAACAAGAAATTGTTCAATGAGAAATACACTGGTGAGAGAGCATATACTAAAGATGAGCAACACGGCTTCGAAGCTGAAGCCAATGAATTTGAAGCTCAAAGATGAGTTCCCGATTCATTTGGTTTTTGCTTGCTTGCCTAAGGAATATGAAATTTTTGTTGTAAATTACAACATGTAGCCCGATAAGTGGGATATAGAGAAGCTCATCGCAATATGTGTTCAAGAAGAGGAGAGGCTGAAAAGCTCACAGGGTGACTCTGCTAACCTTGTGAAGGAACAAAAAGAAGAATTTCAATAAGAATGCCAAACCTCAAGAGAAAGCCCCTCAGACTGAGCACCATCAGAAGAACAACAATGCTCAAGTTGAAAAGGATCAGTGCAAATGGTGGAAGAAGCATGGGCATTACCAGAGGTATTGTCCAGACTTCCTGAAGAGCCTTTTGAAGACAGGTGAGGACCATATTACATTCATAGATGAGTCCTTGTATTTAAGTTATGCAAAAATCTACTTGGTGCATTGATTTAGGTGTAACGGTTTATGTTGCAAATTCATTACAGGGATTCCATACGAGGAGAACCCTGCAAAGAGGAGAAAGAAGAATTAAAGTTGCAAATGCAGTTGAAGCTGAAGCTGAAGCCATTGGAGATCTCTCTCTACAATTAGATGACGGTTTTAGACTTCAGCTTTCAAATATTCTTTATGTACCCTCTTTGAGTAGAAACTTGATAAGTGTTTCAAGATTAGATGATGATAGATATGATTGCCATTTTGGTAATGGAAAATGTCGGATTGTGATTAATAATAAGTGTGTTGGTCTTACCTTCCGACAAGACAAGCTTTATTTATTATCACTTTCTGAGAATGTGAATGCTATGAGCACTGAGAATGAGAATGCTTCCTCGTCTATGAATGCAACAAATAAACGAAAGAGAGTGCATGATGTATCTTCGAAATTATGGCACTGTCGTTTAGGCCATATTTCGAGGATGAGAATAGAGCGATTGATTAAGAAATCAATTATTCCGCCTTTAGAATTTTCAGATCTAGAGCAATGCATTGATTGCATAAAAGAAAAGTACGTTAAGAAAATAAAGAAAGATACCAAACGAAGCGCAGGAATTTTAGAAATAGTTCATACAGACATCTGTGGTCCTTTCCTGTGAAAAGTGTGGATGGTTATGATTCATTTATAACATTCACAGATGATTATTTTGGCTATATTTATCCAATTAAAGAAAGATCGGAAGCGTTCATACAAACATCTCGTTTTGGCTATATTTATCCAATTAAGGAAAGATCGGAAGCGTTGGATAAATTTAAGATATTTAAGGCTAAAGTAAAAAATCAGCACAACTTAAAGATTAAGGTAGTAAGATCCGACCGTGGGGGAGAGTACTATGGTCGACACACCCCATATGGCTAAGTTCCTAGACCTTTTGCAAGGTTATTACACGAAAATGGCATAGTTGCCCAGTATTCTACACCGGACGAGACTCAGCAGAATGGAGTAGCTGAAAGACGCAACCGTATCTTAATGGATATGGTGAGAAGCATGATAAGTTACTGTACCCTACCGATAAGTTTATGGATAGATGCGTTAAAAACCGTCATTCATATTCTTAATCGAGTGCCAAGCAAGTCGGTGTCCAAAACACCGTATGAGTTGTGGACAGGAAATGAACCCTCACTTAACTATTTACGTATGTGGGGTTGTCTAGCTAAGGCTAAAGTTTTAACCTAAACATAGGGAAGCTAGACTCCAAGACAGTCAGTTGCCATTTTCATTGGCTATCCAGAAAAGATAAAAGGTTATCGCTTCTATTGTCCCGATAGACAAACGAAGTTTGTAGAAACAAGACATGCTGTGTTCTTGGAGGATGATATGATAAGGGGGAGCATGGTAGCACGATAAATTAATTTTGAAGAGAAGCGGGTATATGTGCCCACTCTAGTGGTTCAGAAACCATTCTTCACGCTACCTGTTGTTGTTGTACCAACAATGCAAGACACTGTAGTAACAGCACATGTTGTTAGCTCTCCTGTGGCAACAATAAATAAACATGATGAACCTATCATTTAGGATCCATAGAACCCATTGTCACACATGAGGAGAAGCAACAATGGCATCATATAGAACAAGCGTCATCTAACGAGGCCCCTAGAAGGTCTCAAAGAGTCAGGAGATCAGCCATTCCTGAAGACTACGAAGTTTATAAATATGAGGAATTTTAAATGGAGGTTGATCCCACCTCATCTGAAGAAGCCATGAGAAGCGCTCACTCATCAAAGTGGCTTGAAGCTATGGAAGATGATATGAAATCAATGAAAACCAACGGTGTTTGGGACTTATAAACAATTCCTAAAGGAGCCAAGACAGTATACTATAAATGGGTCTACAAAACCAAACATGACTCCAAAGAGAATATAAAAAAATTCATAGTGCGACTTATGGCGAAAGGCTTCACGCAAAGAGAAGGTATAGATTATAATGAGACATTTTCTTTAGTCTCATGTAAGGATTCTTTTAGAATCATAATGGCGCTTGTAGCACATTACGATTTAGAATTACATCAGATGGATGTAAAGACGGCATTCCTAAACGGGGATCTAAAGGAAAATGTTTACATGGCACAACCGAAAGGTTTTATTATGGAAGAAAAAGGACGTATGGGATGCCGCCTGAAGAAATCCATTTACGGATTAAAACAAGCTTCAAGACAGTGGTATTTGAAGTTTGATAGTACAATAAGAAAGTTTGGGTTTCTAGAAAATATAAAGGACAATTGCGTTTATGTAAAGTTCAAGAATGAGAAATATTTTTTTTAGTCTTGTATGTGGATGACATCTTGCTCGCCAGCAGTGATGTTAATCTACTACTAGAAACAAAAAAGTTTTTGTCCTCGAAGTTTGATATGAAGGATCTCGGTGAAGCTTCGTTCGTCCTAGGAATAGAGATTCACCGAGATAGAGAAAATGGGGTTTTAGGATTATCACAAAAGGCATACTTAGAAAAAGTTCTAAAGAAATACAGTATGGAAAATTGTAAGTTTTCACCTGTTCTCATAGTCAAGGGCGATAGATATGTAGAATTTCAATGTCCCAGGAACCAATATGAGACTTTTCCCTGTGTGCCATTATAAAAGATCGCAATCCCCTGTGTGCCCCTGGAAAAATTCAGCGGTCTTCAGCGCCACTACTCCAACTTTTTCGGGTCCTCCATGCCACTTCCGTCAGTTCAGGCTCTAACGCCGTCAAACAGCAGGTGTGAAAAGACGAAAATGCCCTTAAGTTCAAATATGTTATTAATTTTTTTAATCATCTTAATGACTTCAAATGAAAAAACTCAAAACTAAAAAGTTGTAGATCTCGTCGAGATCTATAATTTTTATATAAAAATTATTTTCATTTAATTCCGCAAAAAAAATATGATTTGATATGATTAATATCTCTTAGAAAAATCATCATATTTTTTTGCGGAATTAAATGAAAATAAATTTTATATGAAAATTATAGATCTCGACGAGATCTACAATTTTCTAGTTTTGAGTTTTTTCATTTGAAGTCGTTAAGATGCTAAAAAAAATTAATAACATATTTGAACTGAAGGGCATTTTCGTCTTTTCATACCTACAGTTTGACGGCGTTAGAGCCTGAATTGACGGAAGTGGCATGGAGGACCCGAAAAAGTTGGAGTAGTGGCACTGAAGACCGCTAAATTTTTTTAGGGGCACACAAGGAATTACGATCTTTTATAATGGCACACAGGGAAAAGTCTCAACCAATATAAGACGATCAAATAAAAGCGGTTCCATATAGTTCAGCTGTCGGAAGTTTACAATATGCTCAAGTGTGTACTCGCCCTGACTTAGCATTTGTTACCGGGTTACTTGGTAGATATGAGAGTAATCCAGGAATAGAACACTAGAAATTAGTAAAGAAAGTTTTGCGTTATCTGCAAGGTACGAAGGGTCTCATGCTAACGTACAGAATATCTGATTCCCTACACAGAGGGATATACAGATTCTGATTATACGGGAGAAAGTTATAAGGTGAGATCAAGGGAGAGAAAGTTAGAATGATCCCACCAGTTGGCCCAACGACTAATTGGGCCCTTGGATCCGCGTCCTGATCGGGGGCGCCCAACCGCTCCATGGTTGGTGGGCCCCCGTCGCACAGCGTCATAGAAAGGGAGGTGAGGGCCGGAGCACAAGGCACGAGGTTCTCCTTCGTCATCACAACCCCACCTACATCCTAACCCTAGGCGATCTAAAGAGGGGACGCTGCAAGCGACGGAAAGCACCGCCACCGGCCACCGCCGCCGCTGCACCGTCGCCTCTGCACCGCCGCCCTACGACCGCGTCTCCACCGACACCGACGCGATGACCAGCTCGTCTTCCTCAAAGGCGGCCGATGGTTTGCCACTCCTCATCCATCTCTCTCTGTTTCCTCGCACTAGATTACGTTCTAGGGTTTTACCATATCTTAAATGTCAGTTTATACGCTAGATCTATGGCTAGTGAATCCTGTCAGAGCTATCAATCCTATCATGGTATCATGCCTTTCTGTCCAGTTGTATCAAACACCAAAACACATCACGCACATAGGCTACTCGTCTCGCAGATGCAGATCTTTGCCGCTATAAAAGATCCTGCAGCACACACGAATATTACACTTGAAAATATTTTGAAAGAAAGAATATGAACCTCCTTCAGTAACCATCACTGTTCCGGCTGATTTGTTGCGAGAGAAAAATACTATTCCGATTGATTTTTTGTGAGAGAAAAACACTGTTCTGATTAAAAAAAACTGAAAAGTACAAAGGACCAGCGAACAGGGCCTAAATCGGTAAGTCGCTAATATGCCCCCGTGGAGCCACTGTTGTTTTTCCACCTTGTCCAGAGCAGGACTTCCAGGGTGATGATGGTGATCAGAAGGACGGCCAGGTTGAAACCGTAGCCGATCTTCCACGAGTTGCCTGCGCCGCCGACCTTGATCCCGAGGACAATGTTGATGGCTGCAAAGAAGAGGGCGAGCCTGCCGACCCAGTGGTGGTACCAGTTCCAGAACTTGCGGTACTTGGAGTCCTTATTGGGCCTCAGGAAAATTGCCAGAATCTGAAGAAGTAGATAGACATTCAGATCTGTGTAGCATGTCTACTTGTAGTGCAAACCGTTATTTGAACAGCTTTAACACTCAGTCACGGATGCATGACTACCGTGGGTGTTCTGAAAACACCAAACTGTTTTGACATCATGGCATGATTTCAGCTATACAGAAGCAGAAAGCACATACCTGCAAAATGCCTAGCACAAGCACAAATATGCCGAGGCCCCTATGCGCCGGGACGTCGGCTTGGATCTTGTTGTACAATGAAACTCCAGCCACAATGCCGGCCAGACCCAGGATGAATCCAACAAACTGGATACCGGCATGGAGGTAGAACCACAGAGGGTCCCATCTCCTGCAGTACCTTGCAACAATGGCGCCAATTGGCAGGAGCACACCCCACGCGAACAAGTTGAGCGCCCCATGGGTCCTTTTCAGACCTTCCGAGAAGGATGACGAGCTTGAAGAGCTGCCTGCAAACAGCCACAGTTTGTTTGTTTGTTTGTTTCAGCGACAAGAAAGAATTGGTGATTGGGACGTCAGAGCAGAAGTGCATTCGTCAGTTGTTTGTCATTTGTCTGAGCTATGGTTCTCTGATTTGAGAAGCATAGTAGATCAGATCACACTGGATTGCACAAGCACTTTGCAATTGTTCAAATGACAATGTGTTCACGAAGCAGAGGCATCAATCTTTCAGGTTTTACCAAAAAGAACCCCAACGATTTCAGACCTAAACTTACTGAAATTTTACTTTGTCATGGACTGATTTTTCTCTCAGTAAAAGGCACTAGAATGAATGAAGCAATCAAACGGACCTGTGGTGAAATCGAATACGATGGAGGTCTTGTCCTGGTGCTCGGAGAGGCGGTCGTTGACGGGGATGGCGGAGCCGAAGGCGAGGAGCACATTCTGGCGCTTAAGCGGCTCCGTGAAGCTGAGCTGGAAGGCGAGGTAGATCTTGGCCTGCTGCACGAGCACGGTGGGCTTGTGGTGGTCGCTGGAGACGAGGAAGCCCTGGTCCGCGACCACCTGGGAGGGGGTCTTGCCCCCCAGCGAGAAGGGCTTGATGTGCGGGAGCCCCGTCTTGCCCATCCACCCCACCATGGCGCTCGAGCCCACCATGAGGCCGTTCTTGGAGAACCCCATCCCCACCCACCCCGTGCTGTACATGGTCGACAGCACCACCCGCAGCACGTTGTCCCTGCCCTGCGCGTACTGCAGTCCAGGCCAGGGAATAGCAGAGGAGTTTCAGTGAGAACGAGCACAGGGTTGAACCGGATCGCCACGGATCTAGCGCCAGGCGGCAAGAATCTCGCGAATCGTAGCAATGGCGAGAGGTACTACATACCCGGAGCACGAAGTTGTTCCAGACGGGGGCGCAGGCGAGCCCCGAGAAGTTGCCGGCAAGCTGAGCCGGCAGCTCGTCGTCGCAGGTCTGCGCCGTCACCGCCGGAGCCAGGACGGCGAGCGCGACGAGCAGCGAGCCGGCGGACGCGCGCCCCATTACCATCTTCCCGGGAGGGAGACGGCCGGCGACGCCGACGCGGGAGAACCAGTACAGCTACGCGGCTACGCCTGCGTATCAACTGCGACGTGCCAACCACCGCTGCTGCTTTTACTGAACCTTGAACCGAGCTGCGTGGGAGTTGGGTACGTGCTGGTAGCCGGGTGGGCAGCTGCGACCTGGAGGAGGTAGGATGCAGCTTGCGATTGTGCTTATGATATTGCCATGTTGCTAGTGCCAGTGAGCTGTCCTTGCGAGAATCTCCTGCGAGCAAGTGTCGCTAATCGCTAGATCTAGAACGAACAGGCAGGCAAAAGGGATCCATGTGTGTGCAGTTGTGCACCTGCACCGTGCACGCACTACTCTAGTGGAGCTTTCTTGGGTTGAGCTAGCTTTCAAATTTTCTCGTTCGTTTATTGGTTTGGTCCAAATTTCAAATCACCAAATTAATAATATTTTTCTTCAAAAACCAACACCAACAAATTTCAAACCAAAGACCAAAGACTAAGACTAACCAAAAAACATGCCCATTGTCTTCATGTGATCCTTTTTTTATGTGCAATGTTTTGTTCTGATTTAGGCTACACTATGAAATCTAGATAAATCTTAAATACCCATATAGAATTTTACTCAAATTTCAAGCCCTCGATGTGGAGATGTACTCTCAAAACATCTGGGTCCTATTCGATGGGATTTTAGGATCCAGTAACAATTTAAAAGTGTGTTTCAGACTATTTTGCTCTAACTTTTTCAGCTCTACTTCCAAATTCATTTGCTAAGCACAGCCGCACAAACACAGCCCTAGGGAAAACCCATACCGTGGAGGGGAAGGGGGAGTGCTAATTTCGCATTTTTTTTTGCTTCTCCAGGGTAATTCAGCATATCTCATTTCTTCCTTCTCCAGTACAGTAGCGCTCCCTCTCCAACCTTTCTTCTCCCCCCTGGCGCCACCTAGCCCTAGCCGTCACTACACCTTTTTCGGCCATCACATGCACTCCTCCGACAATGTGATGATGGAATGGATATATCTGATAATTATATACTAGACGAAAACCTTTTTTAAATCCCAAATATTCTCTCTTGGGCTTGGCTGTCCACGAAGCTTAACTTGCTATTACGTGCTATATTCACTTGACTTATAAATCGTATCTTTTCAACTAATAAATAGTATTTTCTCTCACATCAATCAACAGTATTTTTAGCCATGACGGGGCAAAGACAGCCACTGGTTGTGGAGGGTCTTCTTCACTGGCTTCAAGGGTCAAGGGTGGGCCTACCTTGGCCTAGCCTGCCACGAGTGGCGGCCTCATCAGAGGCACACTTGGCTTGGCCCATCCACGCCCTAGCTGGTCAGCGGCCACTCACGACCATCCAGCCTGCCCAAGTCATTGCCACGACAGCTGTTGGCTAGCCAAGGCCTCTCAGGCCTAGGCCTCACTGTTGATGGACACTTTGTTTACCACTGTTATTAAATTTTAAAATAAATTAAGAAAAATATGACATCAAATTTTTAATTCTTATTCTGATCCTTGTTGGGTGGGGGTGGGGGTGGGGGGGACATTTTCATCAGAGGAATAATGTTGCAAGGTCGCATCGCATAATACGCCACTGAAAACATGTTGCCATGTTGGGGTCTTCAATAAAACAGTCAGATTCACGCCTGCCCATCACACACGCAGGCTTGTTCTCCTACGTCTCAAGCATAAAAGACCCCTAGTGGCAGGTGGTTCGCTGCAACTACCTAATAAAATATTGAATCTTCAGTCGTGTCCTGTTTAGATGTCAATCCTTTAGCCAGTCGTCATCAGTGTGTGAACTGTGAAGGAAGGAGTCAAGGAATCCATCATTCACCAGCGTTCAGAGATGGCTGTAAAATATCGATCGATCTTATTAAGGGCGCGTTTAGATCCATTTTTTTTTTGGTTTTGGCTACTGTAGCACTTTCATTTGTATTTGGTAATTAGTGTCTAATTATGGACTAATTAGGTTCAAAAGTTTCGTCTCGCGATTTCTTACCCAACTGTGCAATTAGTTTTTTTTTCGTCTATATTTAGTACTCCATACATGTGCCGCAAGATTCGATGTGACGGTTACTGCGCAAAAATTTTTGGGAACTAAACGCGCCCTAAGTTCCTGCCCCTCCCTGATAAAATGAACATGAATGAACTATGGAAAAAAGGGATACATGCAAATTCAGTTCGACGCAGTCCACTAGACTCTGGTTGTGGCTGAATGAATCCAACACGATGTGTGTCGGTAGGCACTACCGCACTAGGCAGTATCGTGTACTGGTGTATCTGAGTTTTTGCTCCATTTTCTATGGTTCTTTGTCGTCGGTGGGGAAGGCTTTGCGGTTCATTTTCTAAAATCAAAAGTGAGGTCTGCAGCTACAAGTGGACCACATGCGTAAGCCTAGCACGACCTTTAGCGGAAGGGAAACATTTTCTATGCAAACTTATTAATCGTTTGCTTCCAAAGATCATTGCCTTTCATGTTGCTTGCATTATCCAAGTTGAAAGATTAAGTAACCTGAACCTCTGTCGTAGACTATATATCAAAAGCCACCCAAAAAGTTTGTCACCAGCAACAAGATCTCAAATGCGCGCACGCACACACACACAAAGGGAGAGGCAAGAACTTCACGCAGATCTGCACAATTTGACGACAGATAGGTTCTGTTTGTTGTGTGAGCTATGTTTCTTCTATCCAGTGCTGATATTTCTGAATTCTGAATATCACATATGAGACCACCGCTAGCTGATCAGTACTGCACTGATCATACACCTGCAGCACGACAAGAATGCTTGGAAATTCTGCTGTTGCTTATATACACACACACTTGTCTATGTATGCTCAACTGGAACTCTGGAAGCAGCATCCTGCGTCTCCCCTGCAGGTTTTCCTGAAGCTGCCTTGCGAATGAGCCTGAGGGACTCGGCAAAGTCGTCCAGGAGCTGATGGCTATCCGGAAACTGTGCTTCATCTACCGACAGGACTAGCTTCACGGAGTTCATGTAACTCTGGTAATGCACAGTCAGCGCCTGCACACAGATGTATCCAGACCACACGATACGATTATAACCACGGTCACTGCATGTTCTTCAGATTCAGATCCAATCGCGTACGGATAGCCACACGGGGAGAAAAAGAGCAGTGCTGTCGTATAAAACAACAACCGAAGGAACGCTGGATATGCTGAGTTCACTTACATGTGGGTGCCCGTAGATGCCGGGTGCAATGTAGATGATGGGGTTGCCGCAGAACAGCACCTGTTCAGTCGGCCCGACCATGTTGGAGAAGGACAGGGTGGTGTGCGTGAACATGCCGTAGCAGAGCGCAGCTGCTGCCTGCACAAACACAAATTTTTCGCGAACTCTGTCAGGAATCAGGATGCGGTGAAGAATCAAGATTGCAAACTCTGACACGGCAAGAACGCTCAGTTCTCCTCCTGCCTGTCACGGCACCGGCAGCGGCAGCGGCGCCGGATGGAGATAGGAAAGGAAACCCAGCGCACCTTGATGCCGAAAAGTTTGAGAACCATATCCCCGCTCCAGAAGGTGAAGACCGACTCCATGGAGCTCTTCTTCCTGCGCGCGACCTTGGTCGCCGTCCGGACGTACTCGACGGGGTCATCGCGCTTGGCCAAGTGGAAGGGGATTAGCATGTAGCCCAGCTTGTTTCCCCATCTCGCGCCGTTGTCCTTGCTGGACTCCATCATGCTTGCCAATGCCTACCAGTATCACAAAATGGAAACTGTGTTAGCTGTGAACAACAAGAAGAAGAGATCTTCCCCACTGGTCTGCTGTGATCAAAGAGGACGTGGTAGGGAAGAGAAGCTCACATGTATGCCTGGCGTCGCCCGTAAGTTTACGAGAACAGCGGACCGCACCGTGATGCTCTTACTGTCGCTTTCACCTGAAGATTTTGGTTACGGCGTCAGCTATTCAGTTGCAAATGGTCCACAACAATCTGATGAATCTATCAATCAATGCACTACCAAATGCATTCCATTTCAGCACTTGCTCACCTGTTCTCCGAAATAGTACCGAGATAGAGCGCTAGAGGTTATCCCAAGAAGAACATCATTTACAGTCTGAAAAAGTACAGAACCACCACAAGCAATTATGTGTTGTGAAAAAAGGAAAAGGAAAAAAAAAGAAACAGTGAGGTAGTAGTGGCCAGTGGAACGAAGAAGAGGAGCACGTACGCAGCTCATAGCATTCTTGACGTACTTGATGTCGTCCAGGCTGAGCGTGCGGTTCACGAAGCGCCTGGGCTCGAACTCGGTGCCCTCCTTGCCCTTGAGCACCGTGGGGGCGTCGCCCAGCAGCGACACCGCCGTCGCGAAGAAGCACACCACGTCCACCACCGTGTGCCAAGCGAGCACAAGGAAGGACAGGAGCCACACGGCCAGCGCTGCCAGAGCGTCGAGCGCGCCCGCGGCCGAGGAGAGCGAGAGCGGCCGCCGCCGCACCTCGTAGACGGGGCCCACGCGTCGCCGGACCGGCGGGAGGGAAGGGAGCGCGCCCGGGTCGGCGGCGCTGCGGGTGCAGGCCATGAAGAGGGAGAGCATCGAGACGCCGTCGCCGACGGAGTGGTGCACGCGGAGCGCGACCGCGGCGGCGGCCTCGGCGGTGGGGAAGTCCAGGACGTGGACCTCCCACAGCGGTCGGGAGTGGTCCATGGGCCGCGTCGACAGGGACGACACGTAGTCCTCCAGGACCTTGTCCGGGTCCGCCGACGTGGCGGCGGGGTCCAGCTCGGGGACGATGACGTGGTCATCCACGTTCACCGCTGTCCGTACCCACTTCGGCCTGGCGTCCTTTTCCAACTCATTTAACACCTGCAACCATTGTTCTCTCTCTAAAACAACCAAGAAGAAACAAAGAACAAAAAGAGACATGCACAAACATGTTGTAAAGTGTAAACTCCCATCCACATTTAGAGACACATGCACCCCTATCACAGATCAAATGGGCTGCAACGCAAGAATACATTTAATTCGTTTCAGTTTAGTATAGTACGAGGCTTCCACCATGAAGTGTTGTGTTTTTATTTAGTGGCATCAGTCTAAGGTTGTTTTGTGGCCCTTAGGGAAATCTTGTAGACAATTTCCTTTCCTTTCTTACTTGATAGACAATGTTCAATGGGCTACAACAATGAGTGCATCGGAAGAATTCATGAGAGTAAGATGCACTCTAACAAGAAACACCTCTATCAATTCATCGAATTGTGGTTTGCCGACTGAAGATCTATTAACACATACAATTCTACAAATATAAATGCACTACCATGACACATTTTATGAATGATTTAGTGAAACTGATTTGATGTTGTAGATGTTAGTGTACCTTTTATAAAGAAACTTAATTTAGAAGAAAGATAAAATGACATGTAATATGTATCTCCGTCGGATACTATAGAACACTAGAACTCTATACTCACCACCGTTAATTAAGCACAAATATTTTGAGGCAGATTTAGACGTTGGTTGCCTAAATGATCGTCTAGTCAGTTTACACATCCTTTTAAAAGCTACGCGGCAGTATATTATTTCTTTAATTGCCCATTTCTATCGTTTAAATAGTCATTTTGTCCGTTTAGTCTGAATAATAGCTAAATACAACAAGTAACAGACTGTTTACGATAACGTTGGATCTATGTCAATAAAGTTCGTGTGTTAAATTCTTCTAAAACACTAAGATGATTTAACTTCTCTCTTCATGAAGAAAACCTAACAAAAAAAATCCCCAGTTCCTACTTTTCTGCCGCAAGACGTAGATCGTACCCGTGGTCCGTGGATAAAAGCAGACTCCAGACGTGATCGGACAATCTGCACCCTATTCATTTGGGCCGGTTTGGCTTATAAGCCATGTCTGAAAGTACCATTGGCTGGTTTGGTATAAAAAAAATACTGTTCGTTGGCTGATAAGCCATAGCTTATAAGTCAAATACGACCAAAGCGAACATACTGCTGACGTAATCCTATAATGTGTGAACCACGCACGAATTGGCACTTCACCAGCTCTCGCGACAACCGTTTCAATGAAGCTAGCCTACGACTAGCGCTTTAGGAGAGACGAGTCAAGGCCATGGTATGTTCCTTTCACGTAGCTGGTACGTGTATACTAGTATACTACACACATAGCACAGCGATACGACTCACAGCCATGTCGTAATGAAGCCAACTTCAACCCGTGCCTAATATATGCCACACATATATAGCGAAAACACAAGACAGCGGTGATACATATACTCCTACTCAGTAGTAGGCAAAAGATAGAAGTTAAGGTAGGCAGGTCATAGCTACTAGCGAACAAACATATGTACTCCTCCTTTTCCTTTTCACACACTACGTTGTACCGTTGGACTGGGGTGTTTGATCCGACTGCTAAAATTTAAAATTTAGAAGTTGTGTCGGAAAGATATTGTATGAGGTGTTCGGATACTAATAATAAAATAAATTACATAATCCGTCAGTACTCCACGAGATGAATTTTTTAAGTCTAATTAATCCGTCATTAGCACATATTTACTGTAGCAAACATTGTCAAATCATAGACTAATTAGGCTTAAAAGCTGCATCTCGCAAACTATGTAATTAGTTTCGTAATTAGTCTATATTTAATACTCCATGCATGTGTCAAACATTCGATGGGACAGCGACTAAAATTTAGGAGGGGCAATGAAACACCCCCTCTTAGCAGAGAAAGAGACGAAGCCTAGTTCTTCCTCCTTGTTCATTCATTCATCAGGATTCACGACCACCGTAGCGCAGGAAACCGTGCACCGGATGGGGAGTATGGATGGTGAACGGCGTACGTACCTGGACGCTGCAGAAGCGTGGGTGGCGCGCGAGCGTGGCGGCGACCACGGCCCGCAGCGCTGGCAGGTCGACCGGCGCGCCGAGGCCGAACACGGACACGATGTGGCAGCGGAAGTGCGGCTCCCGGAACAGCCGCCCCGTCGGGCTCACCGGCTCCTCCCCGACGGCGGCGGCCACACCCCCGGCCTGCATGCTCCCGATCTGATCAATCGCCGCGGCCGCCGCCGACGCTGTGGTGTTTACGGACAGCGACCGCTTCCGCAGCAGCGTGGCGCTGCCGGCACCGCCGCGATCCATCGGCGTCGCGTGAGCGTACGTGTGCCTTCTTCCTAGCTCGGACGTGGACGACTCGGCGGCGTATACTCTTCTTGTTCACGCATGGTGGTACTCTCCGGTCTCCTCTGCTAAGTAGCTAGCTAGCTAGCAGTGGCGTCCGTGACGTGGACGACTCTCTGGCTTGCAACTTGCGCACTGCGCTCGCTTTCGTGCGAGCGTAGCCACTGGGTGGGCGCGAGTGGACTCTGACCGGTGAAAACTCAACGCGACTGAAGGATCGTCGACCGGGGCGGCCGCCGCGGCCTGCGGGTAATTTTTGCGCAGCCTGCGCATGGCGTCGCGTCGCGTACTCGCGTGCGTATAATAAACGGCATCGGTTTCGTCTCGCGGCGTGCTCTCAATGTGCGGCCAGACACGTGGCTGGCTCTCTGCCTTCGGGGCGTCGATGGTCGCAGCCTCTGCCTTGAAGAGGCGGCACTCTTCTACAGCGTTGAGCGTTGTGTACTAGTAAAACGTATACCGTTGAAATATTGGGGATTTTTAGTTGTCATATTATAAGTCAAGTATTTTAGTTTCTTTTTTTTTCTTAGAAATAGTTCTAAGTTTAACTAAGTATAGAAGAGCAGTATAACTTCTTCCATAACAAAGAGTTAAGTCATAAAAAAATATTTCATAACATATTTAAGGGCAAATAAGCCCTTGTTTAGTTTGCGAATTTTGGATTTGGGGCTACTGTAGCACCTTCGTTTTTATTTGACAAATAGTGTCCAAACATTGACTAATTAGGCTTAAAACGTTCGTCTCGCAATTTCCCACCAAACTGTGCAATTAGTTTTTCTTTTCGTCTACATTTAATACTTCATGCACCGCAGTATGAAACATTCGATGTGATGTGCATCCACCTATACATTTGATTTTGGGGTCCAACTAAACAAGGGCTAAGCACCCGGGCGTCCGGACGGGGCAAAACTTCTTCAATAACAAAGACTTCAATCATAAAAAAAATTCATAACACATTTAAGGGCATGGCTAGCGTCCGGACGCCCGCGCGTACCTGCCTGCTCCACCTATACATGCTATTGCTGCATGCCCCACCTGTTGCACGCGCCCGCATGTGTCCGAGCATCACATGCGACTAGGATGCTCGCAACCGTGCGCTACCAAGCATGCCCCAAAGGTTCTGCCCTCTGCGCGCGCGTTGGTTTGGCAGCACTACAGATGCATGCCCCTCTGCGTGGCCTACGCATGCTCCTTGTTGCCATCAAAACAGTGAAACATTTGGAACATACGCTTGTAACAAATGTGCATAGCCACTGCAACATATGCAACATCCAGGTAAAATACTTGCAACATATTTCTGAAACAGCTGTAATATTTGGAACATACACTTGCAACTACGTGTATAGCCACTGCAACATATGCAACATCCAAATAAAACACTTGCTACATACGTTTGAAACAGCTGAAACATTTAAAACATACACTCGCAACATACGTGTATAGCCATTGCAACATATGCAACACCAGATCTACTTTTGAAACATTTAGATGAAACATATGCAACATACATCTGAAACGCATTGGTTGCAAACATGTGGTCATCTACTTGCTGTCGCCCAATGGAGTTCGTTGACGCGGTGCGGGGCAGCGCAGTGCGAGGCACGGGCAGCACGCGACGCGAGGAACGAATAGGGGCGCGAGCGCGAGGAGCGAACGGCGCGCGACGCGAGGCATGGGCGGGGTGGCACCAGGAGGCACGAGGCGCAAGGAGAGGGGCGCGCGACGCGAGGTGGGTCTGAGGGAATCATTATCGCATATTTAATGATGCCAATTTGGTGTCACAAACATCACTGTTGTTTTCTATAAACGTGATCAAATTTATGATAGTTGGACTTATGGTGACTCAAAATCTCTTGTATTTTAGGATGTAAAGAGTAGAATACAGATGGATATATATGGATACTAATATACATAATTGTTCTTTTTCACCTTGAATTCAGATGTTGACACAGATAGTTAGATATAAACAAAATATGCACTGTGCTACATAATTCAATGGATTGGTAGCAGAAAGTATCCTCATTTTCAGCCCTAGATATATGTGCTATCTTCGTTCTAATTGTAAGTCATTTTGCTTTTTCTAATACATAGTTCTTGTTATGCATAAGTGTCGGTCAAACTTGGTTAAGTTTAACTAGGTTTATAATTTTTTTTGGCAACATTTGTATATAGAAATAAGTTTATTATGAAAATAGATTTAACGAGCTATCCAATGATACTAATTATGAAACAAGAACAACACTTATTTTGGATGAAGGAAGTATATATCAAATATTTATGTAGACATTGCAGGCTCGTACCTCCCACCCGAGGTGGTATCGATTTTTTTATGTACCTAGAAAAGTCAGAATTACTTAATTTTAAATAGAGGGAGTATGTTTACATTTTTTTATTAGAAGGATAAAGCATGAATAGATACGTAGCGTCGTGCTCTCATTTCCTATGTATATTTGATATGTTGTTTTTCTTGTTACAACAAATGGATATTTTTGCTAGTAGATAGATTGATGGAAAACTCTTGTTGGGACCGTGGTCTTTAGAAGAAAGACACGTGGCACCTGGTCAAAACTTCGAGTCGAGGCAACCCTCAAGCGAAAACGTCAGAGCGCACAGAAAACCAAACAGCTCCTCGACTGGCACGAATGCCCGTCAGGTCGTGTGCAGCGCGCACGATCGAACACACCCCGTTGCGCAAGGCCACGCATCCTCGCCAGTAATTGGCGTCTCTTCAACAATCGACCGCGCCCAGGGCCTCCGCCGCCTAGGGTTTCCGGCGTGGATGCCATGGAGAACCTCATCTCTCTCGTCAACAAGCTTCACCCCGCGTGTACCGCCCTCGGTGACCACGGCGAAGATAGCGCGCTCCCCACACTATGGGACTCGCTACCGACTATCGCAGTCGTCGGCGGCCAGGTGACCAGCGCGCGATCTCGCATTTGCCTTTTCTTTTCGTTTTCTTTTCCTTTTTTGGTTCCTTGTTCTTCGACGCGATTTTTTTTTTCTGAACCGGCGATGCTTGGGTTTTGGCTATATATATGTGGTGTGGAACCCTAGCTTTTTGTGATGCCCGCTTAGTAGTTTACTAGTTTAATCCACATTTATACGGAGGATAGTTCAACTTCATATTTTCATAGTTGTTTCGAATTTCAAAATTTTGGAATTCAACTACCAATGTGGGTTTTGACATGCCAACTTCCATCGTTTGCTGTTACGTGTGACAGAGTTCGGGTAAATCCTCGGTGTTGGAGAGTGTCGTTGGGAAGGATTTCCTACCTCGGGGTTCAGGTACAGTGATTTCACGGTTACAATCTTCCCAAAAATCTTAGCACTATAAAGCCCTTCTGTCCAATTTTTTGTGATGCTGGAATTCTTGAGGAATTGTTACGAGGCGTCCCCTGGTTCTGCAACTCCACAGGATTGATGGGGCAGGAGAATATGCAGAGAGTTCATGCACCTTCAGAACAAAAGATTCACAGATTTTGGTAAATTCTATACTCAATTAATCAATTGTTGCTTGGGTATGTTTGATCCAATCCGTAGATAATGCAACTGCAATGTTGTATGATAATGTCTAAATGCAAATTGAACCTCATGGCACTCTGTTGCCTCAAATATTGTTTCTCATGACGTGTGCTAATGCTGCAGGGCTAAGTTTGCTCACTCATGTTGCTGTACTACTTTAGTGGTTTTATCTCGTTTCCTTAAATGTGGATTGAATTGTATAATTCATGAGAGAAGTGCATGCTTTAGTGGTTCAGTTATCTTTTTAATTTCTATAGTCTGTCTTAGTTATGCATGCATGGTGAGTGGTAATAGTAATAAAATTTTAAAAAGTCACAACTGATACACTCACGCTTTTACAGCCCTAGTAAGGAAGGAGATTGCAGATGAAACTGACAGAGAAACTGGCCGCACAAAGCAAATATCAACTGTGCCCATTTATTTGAGCATATATTCCCCAAATGGTAAGACCACAATCCTGGCAATGTGTTGGCTGAGTTTATGCTGTTTACCATTATTGCTTTACCATATCTCCATTTTTCAGCTTTCATGTTCTACCCGGTCCTGATACGAAGACTAAATCTATGTGTCCGCGTCCGATACAAAGTCTTTAAAGCTCACACATTTCACATCCTACCCGATTCCAATACGAAGACAAAATCTATGTGTCTGCGTCCAATACAAAGTCCTCATAACTCATAAGTTCACGTCCAATTACTAAGGTTCACTCAAAAAAATTAGCCTCCATACAGCGCACGGGCAATAATTAACTAAGATGGTATGTTTAGTTTTTTTTGGCAAGAAAATTAATATAAATTATTTGTAGAATTTGAAATTATCTTTTTAAACTGAAAATATAAATATGGGACTGCCTATTTCTCTGTTGACCAAAGAAAATCCCAATCCAAATCTATTACCACCTAAATAATAGGAGAGGGTTTCGTGCACATCTCTTCGTGTGCGCGTCTCCGAGTCTGATGTGCGCCTCCGAGTCTAATACGAGACTATCACACCTCTGGGCCCTCCCGTATGTGCGCGCCAACACATGGGCCCACCTTCTGGCCCACCTAGAGGCGAAGCGGTGGGCGTGGCTCTTCCGTGACTATCACACCTCTCGGCCCTCCCGTATGTGCGCGCGCCAACACATGGACCCACCTACTGGCCCACCTAGAGGCGAAGCAGTGGGCGTGGCTCTTCCGTGGTGACGAGACCAGGCGCGACGTAGCAGTGGCGGCGGCGGAGCAGCTTCAGCGTGGTGCGCCGCGAGCGCACGCTGGACGGTGCGTGGGAGATGAAGTGGAGCTGGCAACGTGCGCAATGGATGGTGGTGGTGGGACCTCTCGCCGAGGGTGTCGAGATCGTCCCAGCTGCGCATGCATGGTGGCGGGTGGCGGCATTGGCATGGTAGCCAGTGGCGAATCTAAGTATTCTAGTTAGGGTATGCCATCCCAAAAATTTCA